GAAAAGACAGAAAAATTGGACTTCATTAAAATTAGGACATTCTGTTCATCAGGAGACATGATTAAGAGAGTGAAAAGGCAAAGAAAGAAGAGGAATAAGAAATTTATAATGTACTTTATATCTTAAAAAACACATGTTCCCCATGCTTACAAAACACACCTACAAATAAATATGTTTGTTAGAACGCAGAGTCCTGCTCCCAGCTAAAAATCAATTTTTTAAAAAGTGTAAATATACGGTGGGGCAAAAGTATGTTTACAGTTGTTTGTATGAAAAATAATACAATAATTAATAAATAATAATACAAGAATAATCTGTGTTTTGCGTACTCACGACTGTAAACATGCTTTTGCCAACCCTGCATGTGTACAGAAACACATGTCACTGGAATGTTCTCAGCAGCTTATTTTGAACAATCCTCAACTGGAAACAACTCAAATATTCAACAGCAGAGGGTAAACAAATTGTGGTATGTTCATCAAATAGATAACAGCGTGGGTGAATCTTGAACAAAAGACACAAGACACAAAAGAAGGCAAGCAATGGGATTGTCCCCTGAATGATTCCATTTCTATCAAGATTAAAAACAGGCGAAACTCATTTTAGAAAAGAAGCGGAAATAGTACTTACCTTTGGAGGGGCTGCACCGGGCAGGGGAGACAGGAGGCTTCCCGGAATGGCTACCTTCTCTCCCTGGATCGGAGCACTTTCCACACAGGTGTGTTAACTTTGTAAACTTTCCCTGGCTGTGCCTTCGAGAGAAAGACTATGCATGGCTTCACAGATGTGTGTATATATAGTTGACCCTTGAATAACACGGGTTTGAACTGCACTGGTCCACATACACGTGGATTTTTTTCAATAAAAAATTTGGTATCCAGGCCTTTTGCAGTGGGATTCAACCCACTGCAAATGGAAAAGAGCATTTTTGCATTAGCGATGGCCTGTTCCCACCCATGGAGTCCCAGCCACGGCTTCCCAGGTGTAGAGTCTCAACTGCAGATTGAAAACAGTATCTTCGTCACAGATTCCCACCGGCAGACGAAAAATAGTTTTGGAACCAAAGTTGGTTGAATTCTCAGATGCAAAGGGCAAACTGTAGCTAGGTTTTCTGGGAGTCAGAAGTTATACTAGATCGACCAGGTGGGGGCGAGTGCTCCTAACCCCTGCATTGCTCGAGGGTTAACTGTACCTTCAGGTCTTTGGATAAAAATGGAAACGGCTCTATGGTCAGCAGACTTGAAAACTGTATCACCTGTGAGAGGCAAAACCACTGTCCATTGCCAGAGATATTATACATTATTTTCTACCATGTGCATAGCGAGTTACTTCTATTCAAAAATTAAACTTTTCAGCAGAACGGTATTTGAATGAAGCCTGTTACATTTCTAAAATAGCAACTATAAAGCCTCCACTTTGGTTTAATAATAATATTTAACTCTTTTATGTATTAACTCATGACGTTATAAAGTGAGATAGCAACTATTATTACGTGCCCATAAGGAGGAAGGGCTCATGGAAGTAGCATAATCAAGGTTGCATGACTAGTGACACGTCAGGAAACTAATTTGGACATCTTAATTTAAATTTACATACTTTAAAACACTACACTGTTTCCGCCTCCCCAAATAATACAAAGTCCATTTTCACATCCTCTCAAGGAGGACGACGTACTGACTAACTTAGCGGTCATAGAGCAGCCTTGGCTTGAGATTGAGGGGTGGGATCCTGCAACCCGACAGTGGGTGAAGTGCCTAAAGATGAATATACACCCACTTTTGCAAGTACAGTACACAGAAAACACACCTATGAATATATTTCATGATAACTCCTAAGTACGCCCATGAGCAGAAACTATTAGCTGCAGCAGCATGGAGGAAATATGATGTTGCCAGAGGAAACTATCTTCTTTGTAGAAATATATCAGAAAAGTTGAAGCTGCAGATAAGTCATTGTGGCTTAAACAATACATTGATGGCCTCTTACAACCAGAAAAATGGAGGAGTTCATGATTGGTCAATGGCAGGAAGCCTCAGGCACCACCTGTCTTTCTGCTCAGCCAAGATGGTAAGTCTCTGTCCTCAGGATCATTTCTTTGTTTGCATGATAAAATCTGCATCTTTAAATTTCACAGGCTTACACATCAGCACCTGAAGGGACATTTTCTCATTTTGCATCTCTTTCTCAGGAAAGAAAACCCTTGCCAACCCCCCTTCTCACCCTCAAGTTCAATTTTCCCTTCCTTTCAGCAGTCAGCGTTGCAGGGCATGCCCATGCTAAGTCAACCCCCGGTTGGAGGGATGAATTGTGAGGACTGGCTTTCACTGACCAACATTCACCTTCTAAGGATGCTAGTCTCACAGCCTGTGCAAGGGGGAACACCCCCAGCTAATTGGGAGTTATGGGTTTGGAAGAAAGGGGTTAAAGGCTGGTTTGGGTTAGGCAACCAACCAGTGTCTGCCACAAGAAAGTAGTAATGCTAAAAACAACCAGGGCTTTACAAGTAACAGGCTCAGCCACAAACCAAAGTGCCACTTTTACATGAATTCTGTGTGGAGGTGTTTTCTTCGGTCTACATACAAAATGTGAACAGTATCATCTTTGAGAATATTGTGTTTGATTACGCTTTAAAATGGTATTTCCAGATTACATGTATATATCACATCAGGTATGTTCATGTTGACTACAGTGAATGTTTAAATCATTCCTGTACATAAAAGTATGACCTGCAGTACCGTATTGGAAGCCAAGAGAAACAAGGAATATAAACTTTTTTTTTTCTTGCCTGGAGAAAGTTTTGGCATTAAAACCTAAAACCAAATCTTATTTTCATTAATGTAAGCCTGTAGGTGTCTGATGTATAATGTGTATCCATTATACACAAAGTTTATAATGGAAACATTTCCAGAGTCAATGCCTTTAATTTCATGTCTTTATCATCTTCATTGCCTTCTTCCTAAACTGGATTCTATTTGAAAATGTGTCAAGTAATGTTATTACTTTTAACGGTCTTTGATGCTCTGTATGCTTTATAATACCTCATTAAAACTGCAGTATAGAACGTGCTCTTTATCTGCTATAATAAATGACAGTTCTTTGATCACAAACTTCAGAGTCGTCCATCACTTTTCAGGAGGGAAAGAAAGCCCGTTTTCTGAACCGTGTTATAACCATACTTTTAAATATAAGCATGAGGGTTATAAATAACTATTTGTAATAGTCTTTTTGTGCTTAAGCTGCTACAAAATTGCAAAATGACACCTTCTATGAAAGTATGTTGCCCAAACCTTTCACTTCTGTGACCTTCTGGTCGCTGATGGCGCCCTTTTCTGGACCGGATCTGAATTTTTAGGTTTGATGAAGTGTAGCTGGATGGTGGAGACAGGCAGCAGCTTGCGATGATTTTTTCTTTTTTTAATATATTTTATTGATTTTTTTATAGAGAGGAAGGGAGAGGGATAGAGAGTTAGAAACATCGACGAGAGACAAACATCGATGAGAGACAAACATCGATCAGCTGCCTCCTGCACACCTCCTACTGGGGATGTGCCCGCAACCGAGGTACATGCCCTTGACCAGAATCGAACCTGAGACCCTTCAGTCTGCAGGCTGACGCTCTATCCACTGAGCCAAACCGGTTAGGGCTTGCGATGATTTTCGTAGTTACTATCAGAATGTTTTACTTTATTGGATCATAAGCCTTATTCTCTAGCATTTAGAGATAAAGAAAATTCAAATCATCACTCACTATAGGAGTGAAGCAAAGGCAAATTGTTTCTTAATTAAAAAATGTACCCATAGAAGCCACACTGCACTCAATAGGGTGAGACTTTGTGAATTTAAGATGAATAATCTTCCTACTCCAGATTGCAGCAGGGGAACTCACTCGCTCATTTCACCATCAACTCTAGGTTTGGGTTTTGAATTCCTGTCCACGTAGCTCTGATAAATTAATTGACGGCACACGATCAACTCCATAAATGCCTACATCATCATCAGAAGAAGAAAAAAGTGCTGTGGTCAACTTGGGAAGCGAATGCCAAATACTTGAAGGATGAAGCGGGCTCTCAACTGTCCGGCAATCCTGAGTCAGGGATCCACCTTCACGCTATGAAACCCCTTCCCCATCGGGTCACCGTCAAGGTTTAAAGGAGCCAAAAACAATTTCTGAATTCTAGACAATGGCTCCTGGAAACACAGGCGACCCCTTGGGGAAAATACCTAAAAGGAACAGCCCCTCTCTCCTCATTTCCCCTTCCCGCCCCCTAGTTCCCCGCCTGCACCTCCCAGCGCAAAGATTGCTACCACCACCCCTCTCCCTCCGCCAGTCTCCCGGGCAGCTCCTTTTCTGCACGGCTTGTTAAAAGCCATTTCTGCATCTCATCTGGAAGGCGCCGGGAGGTGGGGAGCCGCGAGGGGCGGGAGGAGGTCGGGCTCTCCTAGCGCACACCTCCCACGGGGTCCCCGCCGAGGCCGAGCGTCCTGGTTCGCGGGGCCCCGGGAGAGGCGGGCGGCTGCTCCTCGCTCCCACGGCTGGCGCGGGGCCGGGGCTGGGAGCGGTGGGGGTGGGCGAGGAGGGCGCTCGCGTCACGTGCGCGCGCAGGGACCGCAATAAATGCCCGGGGCTGGAGCGAGCGGAGGAAGCTCTGGGCGCCCGGCTCCGCGCACCGCCGCCACTCGGAGCAGGAGTCCCCGGTCGCCGCCAGCCTCCGCCGCCGGGATCGCTGCTGCCCCCGCGCCCAGCTCCTGCAGAGGGCGCTCCGAGACGCTCGGGCGCGCACCCTGCCCGGCTAACGAGGCGGCACCCTGCGCTCCCACTCCAGGCTCTCGCCGGAGAGCTTCGCCTGCTCCTCGGTGAGGTCCTCCAGGAGCGCGGAGGCCCAGGCTCGCGTCCCGCTGCAGTCGGCGCCCAGATCGCCCTGGACGCGCGGCGCCCGGTCCTTCCCGCAGGGGACCCTCCGAGTGCGGTGGCCCGTGGAGCAGGGGCGGCAGGCCGGCCGGCTCGTGTGGGCTCCGCTCTCAAGGGGAACTTCACACTGGAGAGGTAAGGACCTTTCTAAAACGCATCGCCCCGTCGCCACGCATCCTGCTCTTTTTCGGAATCCCTGCTTTTAAATAAAACCATTTTGCACACAGACCCGCGGGTGGGTGGGCTGCTCGGAGAGCAGCTGCGATGGAGACTTCGGGGCGCTGGTTCTTGTGAGAGACTGTACTTTTCACCCCCTCCTTCCGGCGCGCGCTTTTCTTTTGGGTTGAGAGAGCAGTGCGCCCGGGGCGTGTGGCCAGGAAAGCTCTGATGTTGCGGGTGAATTGTTGGTTCCATCGGGCGAGGGCCACAGGTTAGGCACACTTCCCAGGAAATCATGATAGAGGTTCTCGGCTAGCGTCTGGGTCGGAGGAGGCTTCCCCCAGGGACCCGAATCATGCATTCGCATGCGTGCGCTGGGCCCCCTGGTTGTACCCAGGGACATACGTATGAATACCATTTTGTCTTTCTTTAAAATAGTCACCTCAGTTTCAGGATGTTGCGGACATTCTGAATGTGAACTGTAGGTAGGTCGCTGGGATAAAAATAAAGCCTTAGAACAGAGAAGCAAGGACCTCTACATTGCAGTAAAGCATTCTAGATAGGCAGTGCCCTTTGCAGGCTGGCTGTGTAATTACAGCCATTTGGAGCCTTGTGATTCAGAAATTATCTTTCGAGCTTTGACTCTTTGGGGCTACTTTTGCTATTTCTTTTTGGCCTCCTTTATATTTTCTTGGAAAATGTATTCTTGGAACACAGCAATACATTTCGTTGTGTTCAGTCCTTTGGAGGAAAAATGGGTGGGAATAGTTGTTTCAAAAGTGCATGTCCATTTGCTGGCATTATAGAGAGAGAAATCAAACCGGTGCACTCCCTTTGCGACCGTTGTTCTACTTTTATTACTAGGAAATTAATATCTGCCTAGATTTTCATGTTAATCGCACTGCATATCATTATAGCCAGAAGGAGTGGAAGAGCCTGTCTTGGAGATTTTCCCAGGGAAACCCTGAGATCATTCATTATGAAGTGTACCACGTGGGAGTGGCTCAGAGTGACCACAGTGCTGCTATTCATGGCTAAAGCAGTTCCAGCCATGGTCGTTCCTAATGCCACTTTATTGGAAAAACTTTTGGAAAAGTACATGGATGAGGATGGTGAGTGGTGGACGGCCAAGCAAAGAGGGAAAAGGGCCATCACAGACAATGACATGCAGAGTATCTTGGACCTTCATAATAAATTACGAAGTCAGGTGTACCCAACGGCATCTAACATGGAGTATATGGTAAGGACATTTTTCTGATGGTATGTACAAAGAAATGTTTTTTTGTTATGCTTTCAACCCGCTTGGTTAAATGCCCTCGTGCTACTATTTAATCTTTACCATTTGTCCTGTATGACAAAAAACAAACAAAAAACCCACAAAAGATTTTCTTCGAGAGTATCTTCCTATGCGTATTCTTTTATTAGTGTTCATTTCATTCTAAGAGCTTTTAGAATTTCAGAGTAGAATTAAATACCATTAGATGTCAATGCTTCTACTAAGTCAGCGGTTCTCAACCTGTGGGTCGCGACCCCTTTGGCAGTTGAACGACCCTTTCACAGGAGTCGCCTAAGACCATCCTGCATATCAGATATTTACATTATGATTCATAACAGTAGCAACATTACAGTTATGAAGTAGCAACGAAAATAATTTTATGGTTGAGTCACAACAGGAGGAACTATATTTAAAGGGCCAGAAGGTTGAGAACCACTGTACTAAGTGCTCTAAATTCTTCTCTTACCAGGAACATTCTGATTCTGAAAATGTGAACAGCTGGTGTATTTGCTTTTAAGTGACTTCGTAGAACAATTACTTTCTAATTCCTAACTAATGGAACATTCTTATGAGTGGTGGATTTGAAAAATCAGGGACCAGTAATTTGAAGAAGCTTTGTGGATTGCTGATGATACAGTCTGGGGCAAAAGTAGGTTTGCAGTTGTCCATGTGGAAAATAAAACAATAATAAATAATAACACAAGAATAAACTCTGTGTTTTGCATACTTACAACTGTAAAATTACTTTTGCCCCACCCTGTAGATATGTATGTGTGTGTATATATGTTTAAATTTCTTTCAAATGGGCCCTTATTTCTGACAAATATGTAAGTGACGTATTGTAAAGGCTACATTTCTGTGGTGGCTTTATGTTGAGTGCATGGTGATGGCTTTTTTGTTCTTCTGGATTTATTTCTGAACTTTGAAGTGTGGAAATCAGCCTGGGCAAAGGATTAAATAAAAATATGTGACCTATCCTACTGACCTTATATGTATGTACTCTTACAGTACAGTAGCAAGTTGGGGAACCACATTATTTTTTCAGACTACTAGCATGTAAGTCGTTAATATCCTACTTTATATCCTAAAATTTTAGAAAAGTAATTTAAAAATCTATTATACTACTTGCATGAATTAGGAATGCACCATCAAAGACTGATAATAAATAACCATTGGTGATAGCAAACTTATTTAATGCCTATTGAGAAAACATTTCTCCTGGGATACATTGCAGGGTGCCGTTAATTTCAGCGCATCCTCCTTTTTCTTTTTTTCTGCATTTACATTCGTTTTGATGGGTAACTCCCACTGAACATGGGACTTCAAAGTTCACATTACCCATTACAAAATATGGAATTATATTATTTTAGCTTTCACTGGGAGAATATTTTACCCTAAAGAAAGTAAGTAGCGCTCAATAGAACTCAGCGGCGATTAAGAATTGGGCCCCGGCAGCCAGGCTGCCTGGGTTTAAATTCTGGCACTGATACCCTTTAGCTAGGTGTCTGTGGACAACTTGTTAATTAATTTCTCTCTCCTTCAGTTTTCTTATGTCTACCCAGCAAGTGTACTCACTTCTGAAGGTTGTTGTGAGCGTTGAGATAACCTATGTAAAGTTTAGCTCAGTACCAGGCACATTGCAAGGTCTCAAGAGGTGTTAATAAAACATATACCTAATTTGATGTCTCCACATACTGTTTAAATAGAATATCTGTGGAAATTGTTAGCTCTTTACAAAATTCTTTGCAGGAAATGACATCAGTTATGTCTCACATTTCTGCTTTGTGTGCACGCTGAAGTGTTTGTCCAAAGTAAACCAACTCCATGACTTCTTCAAACAGAAAGAGCCAAGTATAGGGTCTTCCCAAGGCGGCCACCGTAGGCTTATTCCACGTGGAGAAGGGTTCTGTTGCTTCTTATTTAAAATAAGGAAGAAGTTGGGAGTTCAAGCCCACAAAAACAATCTGAGAATATTGATGTGCATTTCCAGTAATATGGAAATAATGAAAGAACAGTTCTGTGCTTCGTTCTGATGCCTGACTTCCAAAGAAAATAACTGTCTATTGTATGATGTCTGGTTTGGGCTGTTTATCCGACTTGCTTGTAGGTTTCACTGGTTTCCTTCCATCCTTGAAATGTAGATTCCGAAACCAGCCAGGGAGCTGTGACTTGGCGGGGAACTGGGCTGCTGAGGAGTTCAGTGCCCAACTGTAATACTGGCCCACATTTTCTGGAATACACATTTAAGGGGAGGTTAAAAGAACAATATTATTTTATTTGAAGTACTGTTCATGTATGTATTACATAATAAGTCCAGATGTTTATCAACCTTGTGAAAACAATTTATTTGAAAAGGTTTTTTAAAGTGAATTTATTCTAAGAAGAAGAAAAAAAAAACAAAGTGCCAGCTGAAGAGCTGTTACCTGTAAAAGCTGCAATTCTCTATGGTACATGCCACCCCTTTTACTCTATCAGTCACATGACATGAACAGTTTGAATAGCCAGTTACCTTATTTACATTTGGTGCTTATTTTGGTCTATTCTTTGTCCTTGAACCTATGGCAGCCAAGCCACATTCACACTTATTAACATACATCCCTACCCCTGCTCTTATGCTCATTTAATTATTGGGGTTAAAAGTTGACTCCAGGAAACCACATCTTCATTTGAAGAGCTTATAAGCTGATTGAGAAGAATAGACACAGTGGGAAAATTTCAAGTGAGCAGAGAGAACCACATTCTCTGTGTGTGTATGAATGATGCCAAGGGAGCACAGACTAATGGAATATTCCCAATGGGAGGGCTAATGAGTGGGGGAGATGCCCGGGACCACCGTGCACTGTGGCAAAGGGTGGAGGGCATATCTCAGGTGGAGGTAGAGGATGAGGAACGGTGGGTGGCAGGCTGGTTGTCAAGAACTGAAGCAGACTGATGAAAGCACAGACCTGTGGCAGAATCAGGAAGGGGAGAGTGAATTATTGATTATGGAAACCAGTGATCCTAAGGAGTGAGATTACCCACATTTAATTTAGGGTAAAATGAGAAACTGGAGCTTTTAGGTCATCAAATGAAGTTGTTGCTGAAGAGACAATGGATTTTAGGGGGGGAAATACTGTCTTTGGACCTAGATAACAGCAGGTTCACCTTTCGTCTGTGCTGCTTACTGATGTGTGTACTCCGACAATCAGCAACCGTTCCGGGCTTTGCTTTCCTCACTGGTAACATTGCTGTAAGGATATAAACCCCACAGGCTGTAGTGAGGTAACACATTTGAACTGTTGAGCATATTCTTTTTCTTCAAACCTTTCCTCTCCATGGGTTTTAAGACCCCCATCTCTTGGGTCTTTTATTTTTCTGTGTGTTTTTTTCATCACATGTTCTTGTTTTCTGCTCATCTCTTAAACCTTTGCTCCCCAGGTCTTCTCTCTAGGCCTGCTCCCTTTCTTCGGGACCTTATCTACTCCTTCGATTGTAAATCTCATCCATATATTGATGGCTCCATAGTCTAGATCTCCATCCAGCCATCTTCTGTGAGATTCATTTTCATAGTTTCTATTGCCTGGGTCATCGCTGCGTAATATTACCCGACAGTTACTTCAAGCTAAGGTGTCCAAAAAGAAAATGAGCTGTCTTACCTTTTTCTCCACCCCTGCCTGTCCTTCCACTCCGCTCCCTGGATTCTCTCTCAGACACCTGCTGAGTCCTCTCTAAGCAAACAATAACAACAAAACCCAGAAAATCGGGCCCGTCCTCAACTCCTACCTGCCCTCCACCCACTTCCACTCGACATACACACACACGCATAAATGCACAATTCCGTGCCAATTCTGTAGATTCTGTCTCAGAAATGTCTTTTGAATCCATCTCTTGTGTTTCATCCTAACCTTTGCTCACCCCAAGATTGGCCACCATGGCTCCCAGCCAGCAGACTATACCAGTCCATTCTTACTTTCTTTCTCCTTTAGTCCCCCTTCCTCCCTGTTACTAAATCTCTGTTTTCCCTTAAGCAGATCTGGGGTGGTTACTCAGCTGCACACAACTTGCCTAAGCTCTCTGCTGCTCGAAGTTCAAGCCCAGGCTGATTAGCTTAGAAAAGGAAGCCTGGTCAATCCAGTATGCCCCTCACCCTCAACTCCCTTGTGTGTATTTGAATCTGTGTTCACACTGAACTACTCATTGTTCTTAAAGGGGGTGGTGCTCTGTGCCCAGATGCCTATGCTTCCTGTCTGCTCCCCAACTCTTCCTCAAGACCAAGTACAAGCATCTTTCTGTAAGATTTTCTCTGGTGCACACATTCCCTGCCCCACTCCTGTGCTCCTAAAAGATGTTATCCAAGCCTACTTAGTATTAACATTTTGCTGCAATTAAATATTTACATGTCTGTTTTCCTTTCCAAGACTTTGAATTCCTAGAAAGGTGTAAGGATTGTGCATTATTTCTCTTTATAAACCTGGGCCTGATGCATACAAGAAGTACTCAGTAAACATTTGTTGATTAAATATTGTTGAGTGCTCAATAAATAAGTGTTGAATGAAGGAGTGGATGGAACAATGAAATTATATATGAGATACATATGGGGGATAGGTAAGAGGGATTAAAATAAGAAAAGGTGTGTAAGGTAGGATATCACCAACACTGGAGATACTGACCTGGAATTTGGAAACACTAGAGATAAAGTTGAATAAATGCTTCAAATAATTCGGGATTTTTCCTACTTTTAAAAATATTCACACTGTACTATAAATTGTCCAGTAATGTAGAGCCACTGAGATTATAGTAAAAATATTCAAAAGTTCTGGAATTTAAATAATATAATGAATTAATGGGTACCTCTTGCTACAAATTTTTAACGTAGACGGCTAAATTTTTAACATAGTTGATTAAAATCAACTAAATAGTTCACTGTGTTACAAAATGTACCAAAGTCTAGAATGTGCTTTAGCAACCAGGACACTTTACCTAAA